GATCTTCCTTTAGACATTAATTCCAAGCTATTTTTATTTAACATATGGTATTGTTAAACAGGTATAATATTCTGAACAGTTGCCTTCTACCACATTTCTTTAATAAAGGTATAATGTATCAAAATGTGCATAAATAGGTCGGAGTTCAGCTTTTATGAAGACATGCAACTACTTAGTGTTTACATTAAAAGGGCTGCCTCAGAACACCCAATCCACAGTATTACCCCATAAAGAGTAAAAAATATGTATTTGTAAGGTAGACTTATCAATATTTCCTTATAGTTTTGATGACTAATAGTTTGGACTTCCCTTGGTTTCCACACCATCATGCAGATTTCTGGCTTGCCTTAACACGATAGTCCTACTTTTGTCACTATTATTAGATAAGTGTACACATTTTAATTTCTTCTCGAAAATATCACCAGGCAGTTCAGAATATCTCATTTATTGAAAATACTGTGACAATCAAGGACCTTAATACCAGCCAGATGTTAACAATGGGAACAGGGCAGGATTTAATAATGGAATGTATGGGATTCTCATTTTTACTGATCCATTTAAATGTTTTCTACTCAAGCTATATACTTTAGGTAAACACAGATATAGTTATCACTACTTAGGAAAAAAAGAAAAACTAGCCTTAAGCTCAGAATTCCTTAAGAGTAAATGCTACTCAATACACATCTTATATATAGTATGTACAGACTTTATCAAGTGCCACACAACTAGGGCACGCATATTAGTTACCTTGGTTTTCAAAGGTTATGTGTCAACTCTGCATATTGTGTGGCAAGAAGATCCTATCAACATTATTTTTTGCATAATGTGCAAGTATTATATGGCCACAGAGTGTAATACAAATTAGTGGCAAAGTGCTGAGTGAAGGAATCCATGTCAGATTCAGATGCACAAGGTTGAATATTACCCGTAAACTACCTGACTCTGCTAAGGTCTCTAACAGCACGAAGCACTAGATTAGATCACAGGCCCAGTTAAGAAAATCTCTGAAATACTTGGGACACAATGAAGCTTCTTAAAGGAATTTCAGGCAACAAACAAGAGGGCTGCCAAGGGCGCTAAGTGACACTGGGGGAAATAGGATGGAATTTACCTGGTTGAATCTTCCAAACCTGCCGTCTTCCCTGAAAATAATCTTGCTTGTGCCATCGTGGCCAGTGTTATTAACATGCGCTTTACACTGAAGAACAAAAACCATGCTGACTTTAAAATGTTAAAAAAATATATCTATACCTAAGTGGTAATTTTAAAGCAAAATTGAACTTTAAGATTCATTTCGTTGAAAACATTTCAAAAGGAATTTGTTATTAAAAATGTAAAATTGTACTTGCAAGCCTATTTCTTCCAAAAATTTATTAAATTTCCCATCTATTTGACACCTTATGTTAAGTGTTGGACTGATTTTACAGAAGAGATCAATTCTACTTGATGCCAATCTAAGCCTTTTCTCTTGAACTTAGCGGAAAGATACATTTTTAACTTAATGGTGTACTAGTTTCTATTTTAATACATGAAATTTAGTCGCTATTTTCTTAATTCAAATTCTGTTGGCTCAAATGATTACTTTTCTGAACTCTAGCAAACAAATTTTAGAGTGTTTGCCTCATAAAAAGCCTTCAGGGAAGCTGAGCTTTGAAAGTAAATGGAACTTCCAAGATGTATCTAAGAGTTCGCAATGATCCCATTTAGTTTAAGGAAAAACACCATGTTAATGTCCAGTTGCCTACCAATGAGCACCCTGGCATCTGGGGAATGGTAGGCAAAAGGACAACTACACAGCCAGATCTCCAGGAGTCCAGACACCTCTCCCCTCTAAGGATCTGTAAGATGACAAAGCAAAAGTTAAAAACAAGACCAACCACTGCGAACTACACTGGCCTGCATCCTTTCTGTACTCATATTTACTAAGGTTTTATGTTGCACAAATTTTAAAGACTGCAATGAAATTCCAAGTATGTTATTTTCTTCATGTCATTCTTACAGTTAAGACATATGCAGTGAACTGAGTTACTTTTATCTTAAAACAATGCTAGCTAAAAGGTTTTAATACTTTCAATTTTTCCCCTATTTTGTTACTATTTAATGGCCTTTAAAAATACACCTTAAGGAAAAGTGTTGCCATACCTGGACTGTGAAACAAAAGCAGATGAATCAATTCTAATTAACTATTAAAGACTAGAATTATGTTCCTGTTGGAGTCTTCATTGTCCTATCTGTTTATTAAGCAAAATGTTACCCCCAAACAGGTTATCACTGTCACTATAAAATTTCATACTAATTAAAAATGAGCATGTTTGTGATTTCAATTTACAGTGTTCCAAGTGACTTTTCAGTTGTTCTTTTTAAAATCAGTAAAATATCTTCAAGTATTAACATGCATCTAAATGAGGGCCATTCTTTGTGATAGCTACTTCACATAAGCAGACAAACCCTACTATGTCATACCATACAAACAATTTTAATTGTGTAGTTACAGTCAATAACCACTCCTATTCAGAACATTTCTGCATAAAGAAAATTGTGATACACTTATAAAAACAGCCAGCTGTAACAAAATAGCTGGTGTTTTCATAGCCATAAACTCATAAAAAAGAAATACACCTTTATACAGAAATTTTATACAGATGTAGCTTTAAAATTGATTGTAAACCAAAGGAAGACACATTGCAAACATCAATTATTTTCACATTAATTGCATAATTTTCTAAGGTGATCTATTAGTTTATTTACCTAAGCTTATTTGCATGATAGTAAAAATTGCATACAACAGTAAGAGTGAAGCTTATAGTATGAATTGCTTGGATAACATAGAGCACTTTTTATAGGCAACTGTGTAAAGCACATTTTCTCTATTTAAAACTTTTAAGACACTTTGTTTTACTGCCCATCAAAATACATTTATAAATAGAAAAGAATTAGTATGGTAACAAGAGAAGCAATATTGCATTTAACGGAAACTTCCAAAAAATTAATTACAACATGACGCTGCAGGATCTACAAATAAATAATGAGGACTAAATCATGATTCACATTTTCTTTTCTTTTTTTTTTTAAAAAAAATTGTAACAATGAGAATGAAAAAACAATTACAGTGAACTTTTATTCCCAAAATAAAAACAAATTTGAATTACGGCAGTGCCATATAATACAAGGCATTTGTTGGCATATGTCATCTTTAAACTGCATTCCACAGTCTATAGTTCTTTTGTAACATACAATAGAGTAGCAAACTCTTTTTTTTTTTCTTTTTTAAAATAAGGGGCGCATTTTCAAAGATCAGTGTGAAGTGTTACAGAAAGAACTGAAGGATAGGAAATCATAATCACAGAAGTTATAATGCTTGTTTGAGGCTCCAGAATAATAATAATTTAAAAAAAAATCTCTGGTATCATGCTTATGGGGTACACGCCTTGGTGCCCCCCCAGAACACAAACTTTAATACCAAACAATCCTCGATGCTTCACCTGGGACTGCCACGCAGTTTATAAAACAGAGTAAAACTTTTAGTGCAGTCTGTACTAGCCTTTCCCAACTGTTCTGCTTGTGCAAGTTTCTGACGATTCATTGGCCAAACAATGAACAACAAAGGTTTTCTGAACAAATACAAGATGGACTTTCATTTTATTAGTAAATACCAGTGGCACTGTTGAATGAAAATAATACTTTAATCTCAGTCTTTCAGATCAGCATTAATGTCTGTGTTTCCTTCCACGGATAGCTCTTCTTCTAGCTTCACCGAAAAAAGGGTGTTAGCATTTTTATCTAGGACACTCTCTTCTAAATCCTTAAGCAACTCCTCCTCTTTATATTCCGCCACATCCACCTCCAGCCCGGAGTTGTCCTTCAGCTTGCCATGGTGCTTCAGGTAGTACCGCTGGTTCTGGAAGAACTTGATGATGGTATACTTGGGGAGGTCGAGCTGGGCTGACAGAGTCTGGATAGCTTCCTCATCTGGGTACAGGCCCACGTCTTGTATAAAGCTCTGGAGGATGCCCAGAGCTTCTACTGAAATTTTGGTTCGTGGCCGGGTCTTCTGCCGGTTCTCCTCATCAGACTCGGCGGGTGAGGCCACCGTGGGCTGCCGCGGGGGAAGCCTGGGGCCTGCCTGCGCCTGGGGCTGGGGCTGCGGCTGCGGAGGGGCCGGGGGCTGCTGCTGTTGCTGCTGTTGCTGTTGCTGCTGCTGCTGCAGAAAAGAAACAAGCAATCAGAGCTCTGCTCTCCTGGCATCGCACACAGAGCTGTCTAGAATTAGAAAATACGCACTCAAGAGTCACACAGACCCAGTAGCTTCTTTAACAGAAAGGAAGATTCAGGGTGAAAAGTCAGGCCAGCATATGGCCCATGCCATTTAGGAAAAAAAAAAAGAAATCAAAATGACACGAAGTAGCTAGACACCAATTAGCACAGCTTTCAGGGGCTCCCGTGCTTGCTTATCCGCATCAGTGGCCAGCAGCAGAGGAGAAAATTCAGTGCTCTGGAGATGGGACACACAAACTCCACCAGGACATACCAATCAAGGGCAAAGAGGGCAAATTGATGTAAATAATTAACACAGATTTGAAATGAAGATTGAGAAGCAAAGATTTCAAAGACATTTTACAGAGGTGAGCTACAGAACCACAGAGGAAGAAATTGGTGTTCTGTCCCCTTTTGTCAGACGGCTCAACCACTGGGCACAGACAAAAGCGAAGCACCTGCTCCCGCTCAGCACTCTGTCTCACAAGTCCGAAGGACGGTGGAGAGGCTCACGTTTGTGAATTTTCTATCAGACAGTTCCAATGAAATACACTCAATTCCTTTTCAAATTGCACTAGGCTGACTTTCATGGTTTTTTTTCTTAAGCAAAAATAAAGGTTGAATCCAAACGACGGCTAGCAAATTGTTTTGTCTATAGGAAACTCAGATGTGATTAGGATTTAAATTTAGTGTATATACTTTCTCATAATTAGTGTCTGTATACGTGCCGTAATTTCCATGCACAATTATACATAACAAATGTGTGACACAGCCATCTACTACACACTTGATATCCATAATTCTTATCAGCAAAGTAAATCGATCTGAATGTAGAGAAGATTACAGTTGCACTATGCCTAAGCATTTCCTTTTATCCCCCTAAGAAGCAATTTTATTAAAAAACAATTTACATTTCCAAACAAGCACAATTTTTATTACTTAACATATATCTTTCTTTTCTTTCTTTGTTTTTTGCTAAAACAGTAAGGTTTTCAGGCTTTCATGATTATTTTAGAGCTTGATATCCTCAGGGATTCTCTCTTCCAATTTGTTTTATTTTTAATATATACTCAAAGATATTTTTTTCCTGGTGGGTGGGTGGGTGGGTGGGTGAAGGATGGAGATATATGTGAGTGTGCTTTGTGTGTGTGTAGTTTCCACAACAATATCAAGAAATAATATAGGCGACTGAGCAAAGAGTAGAATTTTAAGGATGCAGAAAGGAGAAAGCTAAATACATCCCTTGGGGCTAGGGAGATAGCTCGGCAGAATAAGCACTTGTCTGGTAAGCACAGGGTCCTGAGTTCAATCCCCGGTACCACAAAAAAAATCATCTCTTTGACAGAAATAAGCTAGATAGCTCACATTGAATTAGAACATACCTTCTAAGCTACTAAGGACACAGAAGTCCCAACAAAGCTCCTGGTCCCAGCAGGGACGATCCCACCATGGATGGACAGGGACGCGCTCCATGAGAGGACACATGGAGCAACAGGCTGGGTCTGCTGGGTCCTCATGTGGGTCTCTGGCCACAGCTGTGCTGAATACCTTTGCATCCCTTCAGAATCTCTGAAGATTCTGGCCAAGGGTGCCTGTCTTTATGCTACCTGGTCCCTGTCCTGCTGGCACAGGTAACGTGCCCGCTCACCGGGTAGCAGCACCAGGCCGCCATGCAGGGGTCAGCAGGCCTGGCACATGAGCGCTTCTGGATGTTCCTTTCCCAAGCACGGTGGGAGAGGAGTTCGAAAGGACAGGCAGACGGACATGACTCACCCCTCACTTGCACTCTGAGGGTGCAGGGCGACTGCAAGCTCAAGGGAAGGTCTAGGAGTTTAAAGCAGGAGTCTACTCAGGTTTCCTCCCCTCTCTGAACAGAATCCAAGACATAAAATTGTGATTCTACAAATTTTCTGTACCGAACAGCAATAAGTCCTTTCTTTGGGGGCAGGAAGTATTAAAAAATAGGTGGTTTAAATTCTGGTTTTTGAAAGCAAAAGATTCCTAAGCATTCACAGACAAATCCCAACACTGACAACATACTTGCCGAACAAGAAGTCCAAGAAGGGAGCATCTGCCACCTGGGGGGGGGGGGGGGGGCTCAGCACCCGTGCTGGGGAAAGTCTGTTAATTTTCCTTTCATCCCCTTGAGCAAGATGGTCATATATTGTTATCTTTCACAAAAAAAAGCCTATGTTTAGACTGGCAGGAAGGAGAGGAACGCTGTTTTCCCTGCTAAGTTTAAAGCTTTATTTACTTAGTGCTGTATTGAATTGGCCAAGGTAAACGAACCTGAATCTGCTCTGCCGGAACATGGATGATGTGGGGCGGCCTGTCGCCATGGTGATGCACCGCACTGCTCTCCTGTTCATAAATGGCATCCCGCTCTGGCTGAGGAAGGCTGAGGAACCTCCGGATCATGGACAGGTTCTCCCACAGGGTCCTGTTCTCAGGTGAAGGATCCTCCTTCCAGCGTAACAGCTCACACAGCCATCCCTTTGAGACAAGGAAATAATAGGTGAGACCATGCTTACGGGCAGGGGACTGGCGTTCCCCATCAGGAACTAAGAAGGAAAGACCCTGTAAGTTTACTTTTCCGTATCTTCACAACACTCCAATCTGCTTAAATTTTTTTCTTCTTAATCTGTTAGAAGGGATAGCTATGGCTGTTGAAAAAGCAGGCTCTATGCCCAAGTGTTCAGATTTGTACCTTGAAGGTCAAACATTATTTTTCACACTCCAAATACAAGAGAGTATTTACCATGGATGCTGCAATATGTGAAATGGGAGAAAAGCAGAGAGCTGAGTCTTTACTCTTGCCAGACCTTCTTGTCTGATGGTGGCCACATAAAAACATTGAAGGCACTGAAGAGGAGGCAGAGTGGATTTTAGGAAATTTTTCTAAAAGGTGTTTCCAACTGTCCACTTTTTGCAGCGGAAAGAGAACTGTGTGAAAATTTGTATTTGTGGGGGGGGGTGGGGAGGAAGGGAAAGAGAGAGACAGAGAGGGAGGGAGGGAGGGAGGGAGGAGAGAAAGAGGTGGCGGGACATGTGCGACTGGCTGAGCATACCCAGTGTTCTGTTCGGACAGAAGGTTCGTAGAAGAGGCACGGAGGCCTGCCCATTTACCTGAACAGCCTGAACGCCAAGGATCTGCTCTTGGGGAACTCGACCTGAGATAAAGGAGTTTCTTGGTGATTTCATTAAGTTAGCTTCATGTGAATGGACAGAGCAGTGTCTTCAGTGACCTGATTCTAAGATTTAACTAGGGAGGTATATATATGGATTACTGCGTGAGGAGACTGAAGCATAGTGTGAATTTTCTTTCTTCCTCAAAGAGAACCAACTAGAACATCCTCTGGCTGTACCAAGTGAAAAGCACCCAAGTCTGTTCTCCCTAAAAAGGCGAGAGACTGCAGAAGAAAACCTGGAGACGGACACAGTAGATCCCCACATACTAACCGGTGACAGAGACTGCTGCTGAAACTCGCAAGATCAACTAATTTTACTAAGAGTATGAGTCTCTAACCAACCTGTCCTCTAATTAAACAGATACACATATGGGGACGGTCGTGCAATCGTGCACTTATTCAATGCCACTAAATATCTACTTTAAGGTGAAGAGAGCAGGCATTAAAAGATTTTTCTGAAAGATATTGGCTAAACAAAAATTTTTTTTAAAGTGATGACAGTGTTACTGAGCAAGTTTCTCTTCTTACTGCAGCAATTCTATGCTTATTCCCAGATTATGGTAAATAAACTCAATTTATGTGAACACAGTATTATTCACCTAACAGAAATTGAGTATTTGAAGCACCTATTTATGGTGCCCTGGAGACACTTATTTAGTGCTTATGAGTAAATATTTGCTATCTGGATTAAGCAATGAAAATATCATATATTTTCATACATAGGCAATTTTGTTACACTTCTAAATTTTACTGCTGTGTAGGTTTTAGATACATGTCTTTCTATAGGCCTGAATATTAACTGTGATGAAGAATACTTTCTCTTTCCCCCCTCTACATCCTTTGGCTATGTCCACCGAAAGGACCCCAAGAAGCCTGAGCACAGCACATCAGACAATTTTATTTACCTTTCAAGAGAAGTTAGAAGGTTCACCAAGAGCAGAATAGAAAAGAAGCTTTTTAAATTAGCTAGTATTCTACTAGTGCAATAACTGTTTAAACAGTGAATGTCTGTATTTTTTTTTTTTTTTTTTGGAAATAAATGGCTGTACCTAAAAATTGCTAGAAGTTAAATTAAGAATGATTCATGGAAGAAAAGCTTGGAGAGAACTGAAAAATTCCAATAATTTTTTCACATCCTTTAGAGACTTTTAAAAGTAATGTAGAGATCAGTTAAGACTTGGATATATGTGAAAAAACATGTGGATCACAGATGTTCTTTGGAAAAGAAAATCATTAGTTCTTTTAGAAGGGCTAATAATGACAGCTAATTCCTAAACAATCATACTCATGCTGCTTTAACAAATATTTCAGAAAAAGAACCCCGACTCATGCAACAAATATTTTGTGAATGTTGTCACTTCTGCATCTCTATACTTGTAAGACAGATTCTTATTTTTATTAATTGCCCATGACTAACATAACATTTCCAGTAGTTTGCTATTAACCTCTGCCCTTAAATAATACTTCTAATTCCTTATCTAAAAATAATGTGATGAATTACAAGTTGCTTGAAGCACGTCTCTGCTAGCCTTTTAAGAGACATGATGATTTTAGGAGACTGAAATCAGATGCTTAGGAAAAAAAAAAAAAAATTCAACGGTGCAGCTGGGAACTGTTCCACAAGGGTATTCCAAAACATAAAACACAAAGTGTGTGCTCTGCCTGATAGGCAGAAATCTTACAAAATAATGGGAAAAAAAGGAAATAATGGAAAACAAATATTTTCACACATTACTTCTTTGTCAGCTTGGGATACAATGGCTCATTCCCAATCCGCACTGGCAAAAGTAAGATTAATTCATTCTAATGCTATTAAAACATTTTGCAATACGCTCTTTCAAATCCTATCAATTGTAACTCTATTAATGATCACAAGTAATTAATCTATGTTATACAGGAAGTGACTAGAAAGCCAAATTCTTTCTAATTCCCTACTCTCTTTTAGGTTGGTTTTCTGTAAGAGATATTGTTAAAGCAAATAAACTCAGACAACATAGAGGTCAGAACATTTGCATTATCTGACAAATAAAAATGAACAACTCCCCCAAGTACTGTCCTGGTTTAGAACAGTAACTGTACAGACTTACTCGGGCTAAGAGCTATAAGAAAGAAGTACTCTGCTTCAAAATGCGAACATCACTTTTTAAGAGCAGTCACTGGGACTTGATGTACTTTAAAATCTGAGGCAGGCGGAGTGGGAAACTACTCTCAAGATTAAATTAGATCACAACTGTCTTCAACAGCCGAGACAACAGGAGACTAACAATATCCTTAAAATAACAAGACCCATCCATTCTCAGAAAACTAAAATGGTACAAGGAACAACCTAAACTTTAAATGGAGTAAATTTGCCAAGCATCGTTACACTGCATATAAAGAGGGCAAAATATAAACAGTAGCCACATGTAAATAAATTAGTAAAACTTTCAGGATGTTACTTTTCAAACTGACAAAGTTTAATTTGACACCTTCTGTTCTAAACCCTTTGTTTCTATTCAAAATCACGCCTTGAGCTGTTGCTATCAATCACAGCACTCCCTCTATTACTTAAAAAAACGGGCATGGACCCTGAATAAGCTGAAAATGCCATGCAGATGAATTCTGAGATAATATGTTCAAACCTGTTATATACAACACAAATCCTGTAAAGTTATGTATTGTAAACCTACATTTATTGGGAACTAAAAGTCTTAAATCCATCTGCCACAAAGGAAATACTGTTATGTACTTTATAGTAACCAAGAACCATCTGCAAACGTCTTGCTACCATTGTAAGCAAGAAAGTGGTGCAAAAGATGCTAAACCTAAAACTGAAATAAATACCATTCTTTCCACTGGTTGTGGTTAGGGTCCTATTAAGGAAATGTAAGACTAAAATTCAAAAAAAAAAAAAAATGGAAAAGAGAAAATGTAGATGGCTGCCAAAGTAGTACGGCAAAAAAGCAAAACAAACTCAATGACAACACAATGGCAATTTATTATGGTCCATGAAACACATGACTGTATGCTCATTTTAAAGGAAAAATTAGCAGTTCTAAACTCAATATTCTAATGATGTGCTGTACTGACAGAATCTTGTTGTACCACATTTAAATAAAAATCCTGGCACCTTCCTCTTTCAGCTGTTAATTTCCAATCAAACTCCTCTCTGATTTCCACTCTACTCTTTTTAGAACAGTTAATGCAAGTCAGTTCGCTTCCAACACTGGAACAGATACGGGCTGCACAATGACTTTACTTGAGTCAGGGAAGCAATCTAACAAATTAATTTCTTGTATCTATGACACCTCTCACACAGAAAGAAAGGACTCTTGCAGGGCCTGGTCCGTGACAAAGCTGCAAGTTAATGACATGAGTTTTCAGGGGAAAGTAGACATTAGTAATCTCTGAGGGGAGAAAAGTCATTTAATGTAATATACATATATGTATATATTATCATTATGTACATATACATTTTAAAACTAAGAGCTATAAAAGGAGAAAGAAAATGACAAATAATTCTTGCTGCAACTAAGAAGGAAAAACACATTTTAAAACACAGAATGGTAATTTGAGTTCTAAAAAGCAAAACATTTTATAGACTGTATTTATTCCCCTCCCCCTTATCTTTTATGTGTTATTTGCAGGAGTATTTTATTCCAATCTCTGGGGCATATAGTATAATAATATATGATATTAAGAGAAATCAATCTAAATAGGAAAGTATTTGATACAAACATTTTAGTGGAAAGCAAGAATTACATTTTTGCAAGTAGCAGGAACAAGGATTAAGTACATAATCCATTAAATAGTACTTCTAACAAAAATTTCACTATTGTAGACTGAACTACACTAGGCATTCTGAATGAGTACATTTTCAACAACTAACCATAAAGCTAGCAATTTATCATTCAGCAAATAATTTTCTACTTTTAAAAGAATCTGTAAGTGTTACTTATGCTAATGAAGATAGTTTTTAATCTGCCCACAAACATGCTAATAGAGGGCAATTTTTTTTTTTTTATTTACAAAGCTGTCGGCACTCAAGGGTAATTTCGTATCAGTGTTCTATAAACCCAGGGAAAATGGGTTCTAATTGTCACAGTTATCAAATCCTTCACCTTTAGCATAACGGCTTAACAGTATCATGGAAGACGCAAAGTGACTAATGACGTTTTAAGCCAACCCTTCAACACTATAGAAAGGTTCCATTTTCACATCTTTTATATTTTATACATACTGCAACAGAAATTTAAGCACGTTATTTGGGTGAGCCTTTATGCAGACAGTCAAGCCCTAATGGAAGAACCACCCCACTTCTGCGTG